AAGCTTTTATAATTTGAGGGAGTCCATTTCAAAAAAAGAAAAAGAAATATAAAATTATCAGTACAAAACTACTAGGCCCATTCCCAGGGCCATGGAAGTGCAAGTAAAAGGTCTTAAAGCTTAAGCTTCATTAGTGTTCCAATAAATCTGTGCCTGTATGCATTTGTGCCGGATGATAGAGGACGGGTAGCCTGGTGAAACTGCTTGGATGGGAATTCCAGGACTAAGATGGCATGGCCTCGGAAGAGTTGGAGAAGGCTGAGAATAAAGGAGACCTCAAGTCAAACTTCAGAAATTTATCCGACTTTTAGTTCTAATTTCTCTGTTTTAGTTCTCTTTATTTAAAAAAATTGTATTTTTTTTTTCAGAGTTAGCATCCCAGTTTTCAACAGCAATGAGACCCATATTCAGTTAGGATCAGGTTTCGAGGGCCCCATTTTAGAAACTAGCATAGCTCAAATCATATCGAGCTTAAGAGCATTCCATGACAAGCCACAGAAGCTTTGCAAACTATAGTCAGAAGGCACATTTCATGACCCTTAGCCTAAGAAACATCAGGTGGCTTGTTGGTTTGTTTCCTAAGGAGTGGCACATAGGAAAATCAAAAGGAGCAGTGACAAAAGCGTTGGGAACTGTGGTGGAAATTCTATATTGCAAAGGCGTCTCCATAAAGAATAAAGAAAACCTCAAGAAAGTCCTTTAGCCTAGTGGCTTCTAAAGGAGGTTAGTCTCTTGAGCTAGGACTTCCTGAGGGTCCTCACAGGTATATTGGAAGATATTGGGCCTGGAGTGGTTGGAATCACAAATATGTGAACTATTTTTTCAAGAATATTGCTAAATAACCTTGCTTAACTATCCTTACCCAGGACCCAGTAACTTAGACAGCAAATGTGTGCTAACAGAAGTTTGCAAGGTACCAACTCATTTCCATACGTGAGATGTCAGAGTAGAGGAAAACTAGTAAATGATACATCTTTTTGTACACCTGAAAATTTTAAGAAAGCACTCAATGAGGTTCAATTTTTCTAAGTGTCGATTAAGATACATATTGCAATCTTAAATGTGAAAATAAAAAAGGAAAAAAAAGCTTAGAATCTCTTGAATGCATATTTTTCATAACACGCATATGCTCTTGCAGTGTAAATTTCCCCAGATTATAGTGATTCTCAATTTTTATGGAAAAATAATATGTACTTCTTTGTATACAAAGATGAAAGTATTAACTTCAGAGTTGTTTTTCCAGAAAAATGTATCTCTGGCCAGAGGGGAGGTGCTATCAGGCGCCATAGTGTGGAAAGATGCACACTATCCCACTGGGAGATCAAACCCATGCCATTGGCACCATGTCTGCAGGACTCCTACCAACTGAATAACATTTAGCATCTCAGGTCTGTCTGCTAAGCACGATTGCTCAAAAACACAGCGTCCTTCAAGTTCTCACTGAATAAGGTTTGTTCCCAGTCAAAAAAAAAAAACTCTCTGGAAGGAGTAGGAATGGATTTTAATTTTTTTTTAAGAATAGAAAATTTCTGTTGAAAAATCGTGGATTTCAAGCTCAAGAATCTACCCGGAAAAAAAAAAAAAACAGTAGTTTCTTGAGCTCGAAATCCACGATTTTTCCCTGGGAGGTGATCCACTCAGTGATCTCAGCTCCAGCAGATCACTGGCTACTCCTAGGCTGTGACTGGGTTCCATTTCTTTTTATAAAGCCCATGTTATTTCTGTTAGGAGGGCTTGAGAGTTGAAAGGGGGAACTGGATAGCTCAGGGGCCTAGCTAATGTCATCCGATCTCTGTTACTCTGAGGCTTTTTTGAATTTGGCTTCTCTTCACACAGTCTCGAAATATGCACCGGTCCTTCAACAGTCATTGACAAGTGGGCTCTGGAGTCAGACTGCCTGAGTTGGAAGCCAGGCTCCTCCAATTACTAGCTGTGAGGCTTTAGACAAATTGCTTCATCTCTCTGTGCCTCAATTTTCTTGCCTATGAAATGGGAATAATAATAATAACAACCTGGAAGGGTTTTTGTCCAGATTAAATGAGATGGTACTTGCAAAGCACTTAGTCCAAATCACACGGAAAGCACTCAATAAATCTTAGCTATTAAAAAAGTACAAACAATCAAAAAGTTACAAACAGCTCAGGCCTTAAGATAACAGAACAAATTAGAAAAATGATGGAATAAGTATGGTACATGAAGTATTGGCAGAGGAACCATTTCTGGGTAAAACACAATCGGACAAAATCCTGGACCCTTAATGGGCTAGGGCAAAGGTAGGGGTTATTATTGTGCAGTTTGAGATCAGGGAAGAAAGAACACCTTGGAATAGCAGAGGGGAGACTATGATGGGATGAGGGGGAAAGAAGCCCTGAAGTTGGAAAATAAGTGCCCCATTTCAAGGTTGTGCCCAGGGCACAGCCTCATGCTTGGGAGCCATCTATTTGCCTTCTGGTCTGCTAGCCGGGCTGACCTTCCTCAAGCCCGCCACAAAAATCCCCATAATGCCAGTTTACAAGGCAAAGTTTCCATGCTCTTGCATGCCTCTTTTTTCCTTGAACATAATAATAACTTTTAAAATGCAGTTTCTCTGTCAAGTTCTGGTCAAACTCCTAGCTTCCCTGCACCCCCCCCCCCTCAGGGGTCTCAACCTGCGATGTGGCAAATCCCCTTGGAGTCATGAAGCCACTAGCCTCCCACCTCAGCTTGCAACCAGAGAGCCCAACGATCTAGTCCAGATTCTTTGGCCCGGTCTGGACTTGCCCCCTTAGACAGGCTAAAACAGCCTCTGCCATTGGGGGCCACGGGGCATTTCCCCACACCCTACTTTCAGCAAACCGCATTGTCAAAAAAAAAAAAAGTCTTAACTTATGAACACTTCTTCCCTTTAGCAATGACTTTCCAGAGTTCCTTTAAATGTTGTATTTCTTGACTGTGACTTGATTTCTAAAAACTAAATGTGTACATAAAAGTGTAACTTTCTATTAACCAGCTCACTTGCCCTTCTCTAGTTACAAAAAATTTTCAGACTCACATTTAGTAAGTTCCAGAAGAGTTTTACTGATCATGTAGGAATTCTTCAACTGTGTTTTAAAGGGGCAAGATTTTATGCGGTGGACTTGTCAGAATTTGCATTCTTGGAAAATGTAATTTCTGTAATGGCATATATAACGTTTGAATTAACGAGAAAATTCGATCCAGAACACCCGGCTTTATTTTTTGTGGGAGGAGGTGGTGGTTGGTTTCTCCACACCCGTTAACAGAGAATTTTCTTTATTTAGCGAGACTCGATTCCTCAGACAGGCTGTGGCCATTACGGAGCTACCGAGGCTGGAAGGTTAAGGAATGTAAGGAAGTCAAACTCCGGCGTTGGAACCGATACGAAATAAACTAAATCCACCAATATATAAGGAGAATAATTACAAAAGTTATGAGTGTGTGTTAGAAATGGTGAGCTCAAGGTCCATGAGAAGAATTATTTGGAGAAATCTTCCCAGAGGAGGTAGAAATTTTGTAATTAAAAAAGAAAGAGAAACAGGAAATAAACCCCCCCCCCCCACATCGCGTTTCGACCCCAGAGTGCCGGTGAGCAGAAAGCAGTCTGAGCTCCAGGGAAAGTAAGCAGCTTCGGGACATTTTCTAAAGTGCTTTTGCAGTGCAAAAGCTCAGAATGTGGTTAGTTTTACGCACCGACTTCTTTGCCATAATCGCTTGAAGGGGCGCCTTACTTCTCAAGGCTAAATCGCGTTTTTCAGATTCATTTAAATGGTGCATTCGACCCACTGCGCTTTGAGGGGAAACGGAGGTGATCATCCTGGGTGCCCAAACGTTTTGCAATGAATGAGCGAATGAATGAAACTCAACCCAAGCGCTGGAGACTGGGAAGGACTCAGGAACTTTCTTTGCGCTGCGAACGCGGCAATATGCAAACTTGGGACTCGGGGCAACCTGGTTTTCAGAAACTCAGTCCGTCTCTCCCAACCCTTAGCACCTGTTCACAGGTGCGGTTCCGAGTGAGCGGGCCCGGGCTTGGCACCAACTCGTCCAGGGCTACAGGCTATGCAGCCCGCCTCCAGGCGACTTCGCAGCGGCCCCGTCCACGCTGCGCTGCCTCCCGCTAGAGCTTTCGAAGGCTGAACTCCTGTTGCGCTCAGTACCCTCTCATCTCCTGCACCGGGGCTTGCCAAGGTTTGATTTCTAACCCAGTACAAGTCGCTTGCTTCTCTGACTTGACGGGTCTTTGCAATAAACGGAGCAATAAAATTAGAAGAGCAGAAAGAGAAAAGTAGACATGTAGAAAAGTCACTAGTGTTTCTTGGGGAGCCGAAGGCGCGGGCTGTTTGGACTGTGGCAGAGCTGTGGGGCCCAGACTGGGAGCTGCGCGGAGCGGGACCGGTTTTCCGGGGCTGGCAGCTGCCTCGAAGAAGTTTCCTGTGGAACACTCGCCAGCGGGGGCGGGGGTGGCGGGTGCAGCAGTGGACGTGGGAGGGGGCGAAAGGCTGGGGGGGTCGCGAGGGGCCGGCTTGCAAACCGTTATAGTCCTTCAGCACCTCCCTGAGCTGGTGCCCCCACCCTCGCCAGCCTCTCCGCCGCGCGGCTGCCCACCTGGCGACGTGACGCTGCACCAATCCCCTTCGAGCTGCTCTGGGGGCCCCCCTCGCACCGCCCCCCTCCCCACCCTGAAAGAGGCGCACCCTCGCTGGGCAGACACTGCGCTCTGGCCGGCGGAGCACCCCTTTTGCTTGTTGGTCTCCAGGACCGACGCTCAGGCGCTTCTCTCCTCTTAGCCGAACTTGCTTTCCAGCCTCTGGAACTCCAGCTTCCCTCCTCTCCCAGCTCTTTTCCCTCCACTTTCCGCTCCTTTATCTCTAGCACCCCCAATCCTAGTCCCCCACTCTTTTTCCCTATCCCTTCTCCCTTCCCCTTCAACTTCTTGTCTGCTTCCACTTCAGACTCCCAGCGAGCGCCCACCTCAGTAGCCCGCTCCCGGAGGGCTCGAAGCCATGGCGGGACCTGGGGGCTGGAGGGACAAGGAGGTCACGGATCTGGGCCACTTGCCGGTGAGTAGAAAACGCCCATCGTCCCCCAAGTGCTCTCTTGTGATGGTTCTGAACACCAGGGGAGGGGGCGAACGCCTGTAAAACGGGCTGGGCCAGGACTTCGACGGGACTGCGGGCGCAGGAGGGGACCCCGGGAGCGGGTGTGCGAAAAGACGCCCCCGGGCATGGAGCCGCGCCAAACTCCACCGAAAGGCAAAGGGATGGGGCGGGGGGAGGGTGGCCCAGGGGTGGTGCAGGCCCAAACAGCGCGCCCGTGGCCCCCTTGGCCTCCAGCGACGTGCAGGTACCTGTACTAGCGGGGCTCAAGGCGAGGCCAAATAGCGCGAGGACGCGTGGCTTCCTGAGATCACTCCCTGCTGCCCCCACCCCCACCCCCGCTGCCTGTCCTTTGCTTTTTCGGCCAGCGGAGATGCCTACTCGCGGCGTGACTTTTCTAAGTGACACAGGCTAGGAAATTAATCAGTGTTGGAGTCTTACTTTCTCATCCTTTAATAGCACTTTGTAAAACCTTATTCTTGCCAGGGCAATGTTCCCTAACTAGCATGGTGGGAGCAAAAGAACTCGACGCCCCTGAGGGAAGAGGTGAATTCTACACCCCCACCTCTTAAAAATACATCGCGCTCCCTAGCTAACCAGATACTGCTGTTTCTCGTGGTTTTCGTTTGTGAGTTTTCCTTTTCCCGAATGCCTAGCTTTTCCTCCAGTGTTGTAATTGATTGGTGAGCTATTACTGCCGTTGGTTATTAGCAGATTTATTATTTTAGCGGCGTCGTTTATTTTATTGGCATCTGGTTCCTGGCTGATACTGGATCCCACCCAAATCCGTTTTTTAAGTTCCCTTTTTAGATTGGCATTTCACTCGCACCCTCTCTTGAACGCGAAGGGCCCCTGGACTCTCAGAAAAGGAATAAGCAGGCACCATGCTGGAATGATCGCCAGGCAACTGTAGTTCAGGGCAGTGGCCTGCTTGCTTTGGGAAAAGCTAAATATTAACCTTGAGGTTATGGGACTATTCAAAGTCTCATTGCCTAAATTTTGTACATATTTGATATTTAAAGATTGTCTGCTTGATGATGGCAGACGTCTGACCCATCAAAAAATGGAGTGTTCCCAAAGCCTTGCCTATATAATTTTATATTAGAATGGGGTAGAGGTGGCGGGAGGTGTTGTACCACCTGAGTAACATTTTAGTAAATTCTTAGATATTAAGAAAAAAAAAAGCAGTGCAAACATGTTGAATTACAAATATTGGCATTGTAGTTATTGATGTTGCTTCATAAAGTGAAGTCACAGAACTTTTTAAAAGTTAAATCTTTCTCCATCCCGCTTACACTAGAATTCTTTCCTTTCTGTGTGCACACATGAGATTTCTGGAATATGGGGGCCTCAACTGGTGGTTTCCTTTCTGAACAGAACTTTCATATCCAGATTAGATTTGCTCCCAAGTAGACGTGTAAAACCAAAGCATGAAATGTTACCCTCCTCCAACATTCTCTGTGTATGGTGGGGAAAAGGGGAAAAAAGCAAATTGGGGCAAATATGTGAAACCACACATGGACAAACTGAAACAAACTGCTTTCTGAAAATGACAAAGAGAGGAATAGGAAAGACCTCATAGAAATGATAGGCCAGGGAATTCCAAACCCAAGGAGAAAAAGAAGAAAATATTTTATTGCCACAAAAATGGGGGGAAATGGCCCAGACTAACTGACCCGGTCACGGCTCCGGGACATAAGAATTTGGTGAGAGCCAAGGAGATAAGAGGAAAGGCTCCAGCGTTTTCATTGCAATCCAGTGGAGTATTAGTTTTCTGGAGGTGAGGGGAACTTGGGTGCGGGAGAAAGATGAAGTTGGTTTTTAAAGTAGGAGTAGTAGGGAGAAGGCATTGTAACATGCCCTTTAGGGCCACGAAACTTCAGGGAATTGCTACTTGCGCTCATTTTCTAGACATCAGGAAAGCTTCGTAGAGTCTTCAGGTTCTAAAAATTACTAAATTTCTAAACTTCGCATGGAAGCCATTTTGTCTCATTGTAGAAGGCTTGGCCATCTAAGCAAATTATGCATAATTCTCCCCTCCAAACACCCAGGTCCAATCCCTAAGAAATCTAGCAGAAGAACAGCACCCCCTTTAAAATTTCCTTTACATCAAGCATTCAGAGAACCAGAAAAGTCCACTGTTGCTTTGGTCACTGCAGTATATATTGGAGATTTGGGGTTTCTTTGAATTTAATTTATTTTGAATTTATTAAATTCAAAGTAAAAGTAAATGAAGAGACCAAGAGCTATCTAAGTCAGCAGTTTGGAAGTTTTCGTTTTGATGCAAAGTGAAAATGAAGATGATAAAGCAAGTAAAGAAACCTACGTGTGGTAGGGGACCTTACAATAAAGTTGCAGAAAGTTGACATCTGTTACCACCAAGTATACAAATTTGGCAACAGTCAGACAATAAGGGGAGATTCAGACTTTAGGTTAAAGAGTCTGAGAATTTTCAATTAAAGGATCCTGCAGAGAAGAACAGAATAATTAAAGGTGGGTCTAGTTTAAACATTGATGCATCATGCCCTTTGTAGGTCTGGCCAGCTAAGTGAGCATAAGACAAGGACTCTTGGGAGAGGCCAGACTTGCTGTGCCAATTGGGATTTAAAGAAAGGAGGAAGGTTATCTGTTATTTTTGTTAGTAGATAGCTGTTAGATATTATTTTTATACTTTAAATTGTAAGCAGGATTAGGGGGCAGTGAGTTTATGTTAATGTTGGTAGAATAATTTGGAAAAGGATATTGAGAATGTTTGCTCAACTTGAAGAATGTAATCAATGTCACTAATTATACACATAGAAATTATTGAATGGGACATGTTTTGCTATGTATATTTTCACCGTAATAATTTTTTTTTTATTCTAAGCAGGAGTGAAAGCTGTGAAGTAGGGAAGGGGGAGGATTAGGTTTTTCTTTTCAGAATGCCTTAAAGTTAGAGACATAAGAGAGCCAACCTAATTATCAGAGACCAACAGGTCAACTCCATTACATTTGTTAATTAATGGGCAGCTCCAATTATTCCTGATTTAATATTGGATAAGTATTTCTTATTGGTGATAAACCAAAAAACAAACAAAAAAAAAAAAACCAGAGATCTGTGGTTTGTGGTTCCTTTTTAAAAAGAGAATTGTAAAACCTTATGTCTTTATACATATCTGTGTGTGTTTGCATATTTACTGTATCTGTAACAATATCTGGGCATGTATGTATATATGTGTGTGTGCGTGTATATATATATATACATATTCTTTCCCCCAATACACCTGTGTTACCCAAATCTTGGGACTAGAAACTATTTCTTCATTTCCGAATCTGGCATGTCTTTCACTATGATAGTCCCCTTTGCCTTCTGTGCCCAGTATGGTAATGACATTCCTCATGGCTGTGGCCTTGGTATTTGACACTGCCATGTGTAGTCCTAATCTATATTGGGGTCAGGATTAGACAGGCCTGGAGGACAGTAGTGGCAGAGGTGATCTGAAATAGCACATGATCCAAAATCTATATTTGAATTACATTAGGTTTATATTTAAATATAACTGCCAGCTTTTGCAGCCTTCTACCACCCAGACCAAGCCTGCTTTCCGTGCTTCACTCATGAAAACTGTCCATCTTACCAAGTCCCTTAGCCCTCTCCTGTTTTGAAGTAATTTTACATTTGTCTACTAGGATTGATACATTTAGCGTATGCTCCATTATGCATCCTAGAGCATCACCTTAGCATGACGCTTTACTTCAATTTCTTTTCTTTTCTTTTTCCAGTCTAGAGCAGTGGTTTTCACATGTTGGTGATCAAAAAATCATCTCGGGATCTTCGTACAATGAAGATTCTTCAGACCCACTCCCAGAGATTCTGATTTCATAGTTCCATGGTAGGGCCAAGGAATCTGTATTTTTAACCAGATTCCATCGATGATTCTTATGTAGACGGAGTTCATGCAGGCCACAGTTTGGGAAACACTGGTCTAGAGGAAGAGATTTGCCTTTCTAAACTCTCCACTTGAACTGTGAAGCCCGTTCTTCCAAGTATCTCTGAAACTCATTCGGGCGCTTCTCTTTGTCATATCCACCATCTTCAGGTTCTCTCTTCATGAACTTTTCCCATAAAATCGCTATTTGTAGTATTAAAAAAAGAAGAAGAAAACCTCTGTTATCGCCTTCTAGGTACTGTGCAATTTCTTTCCTTCCTTTTGCTGCCTGGCTATTGGAACGTGTTCTCTCACTCTCCTTCTTTACTGTCCCAAACCTGAAATCACACCTCAGATTTGACCAGCGACTTTCTTGCTACCCCTATTGACCATTTATCGGTCCCCTTTCTCCTTAATCTCTGCCATATTTGGTCCTGTCGATCATCCTCTGTCTCTGAAAGTCCTCCCTTGGCCAGTAAACACTGCCTTCTAGTGGTTCTTTTCTTCCTGTTACCTGCTCCCCCCGCCACCCCAGCCCTTAATAAAAGTATCCATCAAGGTGCTCATTCTTTCCCCTTTCCTTTGATTTCAAAAGACAGAAGCAACCCCCCAAAATTTGGGGTTTCAGGGAGCAGTCAGACTAGGATTTCTAAATTGTAGGGGATAATTTAGATACACAGAAAGATATAACACAAGTATCAATTATTTGCCTAATAGTTTATGGTTCACAAATGTTTTCTGACTTAGATTTTTAGTAATTACTTTTGACAACAGCTTTTACAAAGTTAGGGTTTCCTGTTTACTACCCATATTGTTTACTCAAATGAGACACCAAAGCATAACAAACCCCCAAATCTCCAAGTTGATATAGTAGTCATGCACATAAAGATCTTTCCTCTTCTAGAGGAGAAGACCAAATAGACACGGAGACTCCTCTGATGGGGACTTTTTACTTTCTCAGTGACCAAAAAGAGGGTTCCTTTTCAACGCTTCCTTCCTTGGGATCCCAGAATGAACTTGCTCTGCCTATAATTTAGTGGAAAATATTATATAAAAAATTGGGTCTTATTATCTTAGTAATTAGCTTAGTCTCTTCCCCTTTTTTTCTAGTTCAACAATTATTTAATCTGGAAAGGTAATAGTGTGGAGCCAGGGGAACAAAAAATATCACTTAAAACTAATAAAAATATAGTCTTAGAATAGATGAATACTTCCTTGAGTTGCCTTTAAGAACGGAGTAGATTAAAAAAATGAACAATTCTTTTATTAAATGTGAGCACCAGGAGAATTAAGATGGTTGGATCATTTGCAAGCAGGAAGCTGTTTCCTAACAACTTGAATGTAGATAAAATAGGGCTTCCATGAATCTCCACGGATATTTTACTGTCCCAGTTCATTTCCTTGGTATCTCTTTTGAGTAATTAAATGTTGTTGTTAAGTGCTGTTGAGTTGGATCCGACTCATAGTGACCCTGTGTATAACAGTACAAAACGTTGCCCAGTAACTAGATACCTGAGTCCAAATCAGAGTAAGGTACTTATGTTATTGAGGGCTAGAAAAAGAATTAAAGAAATGTAACACGTGCTCAAAGATTCAGAAATAAAGACTGAACAAACAATACAGTAATTCTCTACTACATGGTGTTTTTTCCAGCTAAGATGTAGCCTTGACCATAGCAAACAATGGTTCACCAATAGGAATCAGCTAACCTATTTGATTCTTTTGACAGATGTCCAGAGGCTGTTTCGCCAGAGTTAATAATTTCTAATATAAATCCCTCAATGATATCCTCCAAAGAAATATGCCGAAGTGATAAAGTCTTCAAGCCAATCCTTAGTAACTCCTTTGTTGGTGGCTAACATTTCCCTATAAATCTCTCAATGACTTATAACAAACGTGATATATTTAATATCAAGAGCCCTGTAACAATCTAATTTTACATCTCCAGAATTCTCAAAGTTATAATTTTAAATAACTTTTACATTTTAATAAGAGCCTGTTCCCTGAATTATTTATTTGTTAATGCTGTTGTGGGTATTATGACATTAATTTTGATGATAATTTTGAGGAAATGCACTGCTGCTTTCTGTAACAATGGTTGTATCAATCCACTGGAAACATCTGGATTTTAGAATGGTGGAATCTGATTTTTTTTTCCTATAGAATTTTAGAGCTGAGAAATCACCTAACAGAACACATTCATTTTACGTGTAAGAAAACTAAGTCCCCGAGAGAGTAGATGACGCTCATGTAGATAATTAACGGCAGAGCTGGGGCTAAAACTCAAGTTGCCTGACACTGTCCAGTTGAGTACTTGTTGACTAAAGTAATCCCAGAACTGTGTCATTTTCCTATGACAGTTTTGCTAGATGATGCAAATATCACATCAATTTTAAGTAGTCTGTAATTTCAGCCATGTACTTTGCATATGCTCAACAGTTTTTCTGTTTAGCTCACATTTAAAGATGATAAAAATGTTTGTGTACATAAAATGTGCTTTCTATAAGGCCTGCAAATTTCCAAAAAATTGCCAATGCCCCTACCATATTGTATATAAATAGGCATCTACACATGTCTCGAATAAGTTTGGCTAAAATAGAAAAATAGGCTGGTAGACTAAAAATTTAAGCAGTGATAAAACTAAAGAAACCATGTTTTGTTGTGAACAAGAAAGGAGTACTCGTATTTTAAGGTGAGAAAACAATGTTTAAGGAAGAATATGGAAGCCTTAGGAAGCTATCTCTAAGAATGTTATTTTTTTTTTCTCCTATGATGCCATGTTTAGGATTAAAGCACAGAAAAAAAAAATCAGTAAATGTATGGCATAGTAATTGTATTCAGCTGATGCAAAGATTAACTTAAATAAACAAAACATTGTCTTTTTTTCCAAGTTATATTATTTTAATGCTATGATCTTGCTTTGTTAAACATATTTAGAAAGACAATATTTCTTAGGAGTTTCTATTACATAAATAAGTCATCTAGATTTTATATCCACTATTTACTTATCATTGCTGTATGTTAAACTTCCTGTCTGTCCGGTTAGCACTCGAAAGATGGATATTAAAAGAGTACTTTAATTGCAAGTAAATTGGTTTCTTTTTATTTTAATTATTTTTCTGATTACGTCATGAATATGCTTCAGCTTAACACAATCCTATGCATTTTACAACTTTATGATAATTAATTATACAACGACTTAATGTCCATACCATTTGTTATGGATTGAATTGTGTCCCCCAAAAATGTGTGTCAACTTGGCTAGGCTGTGATTCCCAGTATTGTGTGATTGTGCACCATTTTGTCATCTCATGTGATTTTTCTATGTGTTGTAAATCCTACCTCTGTGATGTTAATGAAGCAGGACTCAATTTACAAGATTAGGTTGTATCTTGAGTCAATCTCTTTAGATATATAAAAAAGAGAAGCAAGCAAAGAGACACAGGAACCTCATGCAACCAAGAATGAAGAGCCAGGAGGGGACTGTGTCCTTTGGACCGAGGGTCCCTGTGCTGAGAAGCTCCTAGACCAGGAGAAGACTGATGACAAGGACCTTCCTCCAGAGCTGACAGAGAGACAAAGCCTTCCCTTGGAGCTGGTGCCTTGAATTTGGACTTTTAGCCTTCCTAGACTATGAGAGAATAAATTTCTGTTTGTTAAATCCATCCACTTGTGGTATTTCTGTTATAGCGGCCCTAGATAACTAAGACAGAATTTGGTACCGAGAGAGTTGGGTGTTGCTCTAACAGGTACCTAAAACATGGAAGCTGTTTTAAAACTGTGAAGGGGTGCAGGCTGGAAGAGTTTTAAAGTGCCTAATAGTAAAAGCCTAGATTGCCTTGAAGAGACTGTTGGTGGAATTACGGACATCAAAGACAGTTCTGGTGAGGACTCAGAAGGAAATGAGGAGAGCTGTTATACCGGAGACTGCACAGACAGCAATAAGCAGCAGCAGACAACCGGCAGCAGCAGAACCAGGAGACCAGCGCAACACAGCACGGAGCGAGAGAGCTGAGTGCCTCTGCGCAGCAGGTTTCCTGGTGGAGTGGGATGCCTCTGGACACTTATCAGTGGAGTTAGGCTTGCGGACCCACAGAGCAAGAGAGCTGAGTGCCTTCCGGCCGGCCAAAGTTTACTTGTGGAGTGGGGTACCTCCAGGCACTTATAGGTGGAGCTACAGAGATTTGGAACACTTGTCTCAGCAGGGCAGGCACAGGTGGAGAGGCCCGAGGGGCCTAGACGCCATGGAACCAGGAAGCAGAAGCTAAAGAGACAAGGAACCCAGAAAGCAGAGCTGCCTCGGTCTCAAAGGGTAGGACCACAACCTAGGGTCTCAAGGGTGGAGCCATGACCTCTGGGGTGTCGAAGGGTGGGGCCACAGCTTCTGGGGTGTCAAAGGGTGGGGCCCTGGCCTCCTAGGTTTCAAAGGGTCAGATCTTCACCAACTCGGTTCCGGAGTGTGGGGCTGCCTTTCACGAGTGCCAGCGGGATGAGTCCAGATCCACTGCCCAAAGCTGAGGGAGTGGGGCTGCCATGCCCAAGGGGCAGAAGAACGGGCCTGCCAGGGCCGAGGGGGTAGGGTCGCTACTCAGATGAGCTAGGAGAATGGGGCCACCCAAATCCAAGGGAGTAGAGTTGCCGTTCCTGTGGGCCTGGAAGGCAGAGCTGAAGCCCAGGGCCAAGGAGCCTCAACCCAGAGTCTGGAGGGCAGGGCCATTGCCTAAGTGGTCTCAGAGAACAGATGTTATTTTCAAACCTTGAGAGCTAATGTAATGTGTTCTGCTGATTTGCTTGGTGCCTGTGATCCCTTTTTTCCCTCCAATTTCTCCCATTTGTAATGGAAATGTCTAGTCTGTGGCTATTCCACAATTGTACTTAGGAAGCAGATAATTCATATTCTGGATTTCACAGATGAAGAGGAATTTTTGGATTTCGGACTTGGAGTTGATTTAAGACTTTTGCTATGATATGACGGAGTGAATGTGTTTTACATGTGGCAAGGACATGACTTTTGGGGGGCTAAAGGGTGGAATGTTATGGATTGAATTGTGTCCCCCAAAAATGTATGTCAACTTGGCTAGGCCATGATTCCTAGTATTGTGTGATTGCCCACCATTTTGTCATCGGATGTGATTTTCCTATTTATTGTAAATCCTACCTCTATGATGTTAATGAGGCAGGATTAGAGGTAGTTATGTTAATGAGGCAGGACTCAATCTACAAGATTAGGTTGTATCTTGAGTCAATCTCTTAGAGTTATAAAAGAGAGAAGCAAGCAGAAAGACAGAAGGACCTCATGCCACCAAGAATGAAGAACCCAGAGGGGAGCATGTCCTTTGGACCCCTGGTCCCTGTGCTGAGAAACTTCTAGACCAGGAGAAGATAGATGACAAGGACTTTGCCCCAGAACCAACTGAGAGAGAAGGTATTCCCCGGGAGCTGGAGCCCTGAATTTGGACTTCTAGCCTCCTAGACTGTGAGAGAATAAATTTCTGTTTATTAAAGCCATCCACTTGTGGTTTTCTGTTATAGCAGCACTAGATAACTAAGACACCATTGTTCCCTTTTTATAAATGATTACACTCAGTCAAAGGAGATGGTGACGTGTATTCTTTTGCTGAATAAGTTTCAGATTCTTCCCATGGAAATTCTAAGGGAGCAAAGCATATTGGAAATACCATTCAAGATAACTGAATGCTTACCTACATTCCCAACAAGAATGACAGTTTTTGTTCTGCTTTTTGCAGGATCCAACTGGAATATTCTCACTGGATAAAACCATTGGCCTTGGTACTTATGGCAGAATCTATTTGGTAAGTGTAGTTAGCTTAATCATTCTTCATCTTCTAATAGCAGAAATAATTGTGAATCAAACCCCCAAACTGCAAATCAAATGATGTAAAATACAATATCTTACCTTGAGAGATGAACCAGATTAAGATAGCTCAGTGACATCTGTAAGAATTATTGTTTATTATGACAAAAGGAATAGATTGTTGAATTTATAGTGAACCAAACATAAGATCTAAAAGTTTTCTAGCAGAAAGAGAATAAAATAAAATCATAATGGAAAAGAGGAACTAATTCAGATAAGATGTACCCAAATGAAAATGTCACTTGCTTTATGTTATACATCCATATCATTCTAGTTACCCACATTCAACTTTTAAATGAAATGTTATAAAATGGAAATTTTTCATTACATTCTATTTCATACTGTGTAAGAGAGTTTGCTGAAGAATCTAACAAAAAAAGTTCTGCATTTATTTAATGATTATTTATTAAGCACCAAGCATGTGCCAGGCACTGTGACAGTCTCTGGGAATAAAGTGATGAACAAAACAGACAAGAACCATGCTCTTCTGGGGCTTATAGTCTAGGAATGAATAAGTAAGTATGTGTATGCGTGGAGGGTGGGGTGGGAAGGAGAAAGCACATATGTCACATAAATAAGCACACAAATAACTGTGTAGTTACAACTGTAATATATGCTCTGTAAGAAAATTCCCAGTAATATGCAAGTATAGAACAGAGGGACTTCATTTCGATGTATTTTGAAGGGTCAGTGTTGGCCTCTCTGGGGAAGTGACATTTAAGCTGATACCGTGAGGATAAATGAGTTAATCAAGATGTGGTTGTGTAGGATGATATTAATGCATTCTAGGTAGAGGCAGTGGCAGTGTAAAGGGGTGATGGTGGTGGGGGTGGGGCTTTAGTAGCCTGATCACCTTGGTCAGGTACTATTTCCCCCAGTCTGTAATATGGGGAATTGCCATTTTCTCAATCTTGTATAAAGTTTTATATAAACACAGTGCTGCCTTTCCCAGGCCTGTTCCTCAAAAACCAGATCCTTTTTCTAGACTGTCCCTAGGCCGATTCTTTTTCTAGACTGACCACAGGTCTTCTACACATGGGTTATATAGAGGTGTGCTGGTCTATGCCCAGAAGAAGGATAATTCAGACAAGGGTGCCCTCTGCTTACCAAGCCTTGTACGTTGGGGGCTGTATCTGCCCAGAGGTAGCTTCTTTTCTAATTCATCTACCCGGGTTGGAGGCAGCTTGGCTTTTAAAAATTTACACAAATATAGAATCTACATATTATTAATAGCATGTGGAAAAGTCCTATTAATAGCATGTGGAAAAGTCCTAAATGCAGAAAGAACCTGAGTGAGTATAAAGAGCAGAGAGAATATCAGTATTCATGGCAAAAGTTTTTTAAATAATTTTGACCTTAACTATCAACAGAATCAAAAAGCTATAGAAAGTGATATGATACAGATACAAATATGTTGTGCATGTTACCTCAGTTGTACCACAGACCGAATTATTAGTTTACATTTGTGTGATCTAGATCAGTTGTGTCATCTTATGTATAGATATCTATACATAGAAAAATTCCTCTGCTTTATGTCACATTTACAATATCCATGGCTCTATACATATTTTGGAGCCCTGGCGGCAAAGCGGTTAAGCGTTTGGCTGTTAACCAAAAGGTCAGCAGTTCAAATCCACCAGCCACTCCTTGGAAACCCTATGGGGCAGTTCTACTCTGTACTATAGGGTCGCTGTGAGTTGGAATGGACTCGATGGCCGCGGGTTTGGTGGTTTGGGTTATACATATTTTAATTCTTGAGGTGCGTGTGTGTGTGTGTGTGTGTGTGCGTGTGTGTGTGTGTGTGTTCTTATTAGGAGGTATAGAACTCTCTCCACCACTAGATTTTAGAAATAAAAACCTCGGTGTCACATAAAGTAAAAAGCAAAGGTAAGTTTAGGTAACACAGGAAGATAGTTTCTCATCAGCAGCTGTCAGAACTGTGTTGCCATAGAAAAAGAAGAAAAGTCAAGAGAATAAAAAAAGGTAAGTTGTGCATCACAATTTCCTTAAAAAAAAAAAAAACCTCAGGTTTATTGAGGTGTAATACATATCTGGTAAAAATTCACCCCTTTAAGTGTACTTCGTCTCACGTACTTTGAACGTGTTATCAGGAGGTAGACCACTCCCTAGAGAACTACATCATGCTTGGTAAGGTAGAGGGTCAGCAAAAACAAAAAGAGAGACCCTTAATGAGATGGATTGACACAGTGGCTGCAACAATGGTCTCAAGCATAGCAAAGATTGTGAGGATGGCGCAGGACCGGGCAGTGTTTCATTTTGTTGACGTAGGGTCGCTATGAGTCAGAAGTGACTTGATGGCACGTGACAACAAGAGGTGTACAATTCTATGAGTTTGGACAAACATATACAGTCTTGTAACCACTACCACAATCAAGATTTTCAATATATAAAATTAATTAAGTCTACCTTCAAATAAAAGGAATCCTGGTGGCACAATGGTTAAAATGCTGCACTTGGCGATTCGAACCTACCAGCAGCTCTGTGGGAGAAAAGACCTGGTGATCTGCTTCCGTAAAGATTTACAGCCTAGGAAACCCTACAGGGAAGTTCTACTCTGTCATATATGTCATATATGATACATATGATATAAACCCATAATGCTGCTACTCTGTCCCCTATACTCACTTCTACTATTTGTTTATTTAGGTAGTCAGTTATCTTTTCAAGCAGTTAAAATCATGCTTGGGGTTCTCTGAGCTTCTTGAATCTGTGGTTTGACATATTTCATTAAAATGGGAAAATATTGGCTTTTATCTCTTCAAATATTCCTTCTGCTCTGCTCTCTTCTGGAAATTTAAATTCACATTTGTTAGACTATTTGATACTGCCCCAGAGCTCTCAGATGCCCTGTTCTGGGGATGCGTGTGTGTGTGCACGTGCATATTTGTCTGTTTTTCATTCTCTTTTTTCTTTGCGTTTCAATTTGGATCAATTTTTTTTTTACCTATTTTCAGTGTCATTGATTCTTTTCTCAGGTACTTTGAGTCTACTGATGAGACTGTGAAACACATTCTTCATCTGTATTACTGTGTTTTTCATTTCTAGCCTTTGCATTTGACTTTTTCTTATAGTTACTAACTCTGCTGAACTTCCCCATTTGTTCATGCATGTTTTCTCTGTATTCCACCAAAGCCTTTCACATATTAATCATAGTTTTATTAAATTCGCTGATAGTTTCAACATCTAAATCATCTCTGAGTCTGGTTATACTGATTACTTTCCTCTTGAGAGTGGGCTTTTTTTTCCCCCTTGCTTTTTTATGTATCTTAAAATTTTTGTTTGAATGCCAGACATAGTATATAGAACAGTAGAGATTGAAGTAAATAGTATTTACACCTGAAAATGGGCACACTTTTTCTGCTAAGCGGTTAGTGTGCGAGGTTGAGTCAATCTAATTAGGAGATGAACTAGGCTTGGTTTATGTTGTTTCTATGGTTATTTTCAGTTCACCACCTGCTTCAAATTCCTCTGTTACCTTGTGCTTAGAGTGAGGCTTGTTTGATGAGGGTTTTTCTCAATGTTCCCGCTCCACCCTCAGCTTGAGACCTTCCCTGTGCATCTGCACCTCAAGAGAGGCTCTCTCTCCATGCTCTTTCCCCTCCCCTAGTGGTATACTGCTATTACTTCTTACTCAGTGCTTGCTAGCCTAATGGTGTGTGTGGTGGGGAAGGGGGGGATTCTCTGTTTTCCTAGTTAAACCTCAGTCTTAGGCAGATCCCATGCCTCTGGGAGTGGGGTTTTTCTTAGTTATCCTTCCCCTCCCCAAGTGGTAGGACACTTCTAATGTTCTGAGTCCAGAACTAATTCCCCTGCCTCAGAAGTAGAGGGCTTTATTCTTTTACCTTCCCCCAGCTGTAGTAGGTCTTCATCTGTACCCTGGAGGTGACAGAGTTTGCTGCCCTTCCCCTAGGGCTCAAGGCTTTTGTTCTTTAGGGAAGAAGAAACTGGGCATGATTTCATCATGCCTTTCTCACAGTGGTGACTTCTCTCTACCAGGCGTGTATCACAAGTCTGTGGAGAAGAACCTGCGAGTGTGTATGCATTCCCCTGTGTCTGTGGCTTCCAGGGGTTCTGTACTCTCATGATAGCCCATACATGGCCTTTAGAAATTCCTTAAAAAATTTAACTGAATTATTTTTACCTGCTTGTATGGTGACTTCATCTTCCGCTTGCCACCACAGGTGAGCCAGTACTGATGTCCCGTCTCTCAGGTGCTTATCTTTCTTCAAACTTCAGGCTAGTTGGTTGCCCTGAGACTTCATCTCTCTAATGTGCTCAATCAAGAAAGTTATGATTTTGTAGATTATTCAGCTTTTTTGTTGTTAGAGGGGGAATGACACTCTTTCAAGCTCTCCACATCTTCATTAGAAGTCAGATGTCCATGTCAATTCCTTTGAACTGAATCTTCATGAAGTATCTACCATGTGCTAGGTTCAGTACACGTTTATAATTCCTAAGGGTTTTGTGTGTAAGTGTTCAGATCCAGAGATAGAGAACACTCCCTACCATCAGATCTTCAAAGTAGAAACCTCTGTGTTACAGAAGGTAAACGTTTACAGAAGCTTTATTTTCAGCAGACAGGTTTCCCTGTGTGACTTACTGACTTTACCTCCCCCGCCTCAAATTAATTTCCTTCTGTAGAAAGGTTTGAGGTGATGGCACTGTGCACTGATACAGCCCTCATGGACAACAGACTAGAAGATGCAGTACACGCTTGAAAAATGTTCATACTCTTGACAGCAATAATCCCACTTTTGGGGATCTGTGACAAACATTCCACATATAGAAAAAGCAAAAGGATATTCATTGCAGCAGAGGTAGCATATTGTGGTGAACAGAGTGCGTGCTTTGGAACCAGGCATACCTGTTTTAGTACTTCATTGGCCATTAGCTGGCTGTATGATGTTGAGTTACTTA